CTAATAACAATAATAATGTTGCAATTGAAAGATAGCGGCTCAAAAAAAGAAACACTGAGAACTGTCATTACCAAAATTTTAAATGAGCGATTCTAACCTGAATAGTAGTACCCTCGTCCTCATCATCAAATCTTGACGCTATGTCACTATCAAAGTTAATAAACTTCCGCATAGTCATTTTCTTTGCGTCATACCTGACGCTTCCACCACGCCGATTCATAGTTTTAGCTGCACAGTGAGGGGAACTTTAGGTATTCCTTCCCAATTGTGAAAGAAAAAAAAACAAGAACCTGTACTATACACCTATAAAATTCAATTATTTATGCAAGAAGAGCAACTGCAACAACACATGTGTACGTATCCATATACACGTATGCACGTACTTAATGAAATTTGTATAACATCTGTACGTAAAACATCCAGATGGATGTGAGAAACACGACAAGTATAAATTAAACAAAACACCCAGAAGTTGAAATGCGCGAAATCCTTAGGATAAAATTATATTAAACATTACTGATGTGATAAGGTCATTAAAAAGTAGAGGAGTGTAGTTAGAAGCGCATAAAAAGGAAAGGAAAATGACATGCGTATTTCACTCATACAAACACTATGAATGTGTGTGAGACCGGATGACTCATCTCCAGTAACAAACGGAAATATTGAAACCAACAAATACGAAAGCATAATTATACACAAAAAAGAAAGAAAACAAAAGAAAAGTCAAAGACCTGTAAATGAAACTAAAAATAAAAGGGATAAGCAGAAAATTAGGTAATGGACCCAACTACGGTTTGTAAAAGATCCCTAATGCTATCTTCAGTGGATCAAAGACTATCATTTCCTTTTCTTGCGTATTTCAACCAAAGCGAACAATCGATTTGATACGTTTTACCGCACTATAAACAGCTAAGATGCATGACTACATCACCTGTCACTGTCAAATTACCCGCAACCTACCAAGGCGTTCGGAGTGACACCAAACTGATAACCACTCTTAAAAAAAAAGGCGCTCCACTTCACGTGAAACCAAATTCCAGGAAACATTTAACGCTAATAGTGTTTAATTTACAGTATGATACAGAAATAATGCCCTTGGCTAGATTCCAAACACAGCAAGCCAAATATTACAGCCTTAAATTTTTCCTTCAGTAAAATCACAATGCCTCTTAAACAGGTTCTCTTCTGACACTGGAAAAAGCCAGAAGAATAAGCTTATTTGTAATCACTATCCTTTTAAACTAATTCTTCAGGAACTGCTGCTTAACTCCATTATATGCAAGTTCTCAGTACTTAATCCGGCGAAACTGAGCTACTTCAATTCCGCTTGATTCGAACCATTATAAAGGTTCACTATTTTGGGTTCCCGCAGATTTATAGTCACTGACGGCAGAAACATAGAACACATTCGGAATTGTAAGCAAAATACGATCAATTGCCATTATAAATGACGAGACTTTCACATACGTGGATTCCCAAGTGGCGTCGCATTTCTCAGTCTGGTAGTGTCGACCACAAGTAAACTTGGCGCAGCAGCGCAGAGATTTTTATTTTCTTAAGACAACTTCACGTTGTTATGAAGGAAGCGAACGTGGAATGTCGATTAACAAAGAAAATACGGACAGGAAAGACCGTCACGCAGTTCCAAAACGGAAACATGTACCATATCAGGTGACATGATTAACGTTTTTGCTATATATAGACTTAGCTGTAGCTGATTTATTTCACTTTTAACAGATCGCAATGACTAATTTAACTCTTAATCAATTGAACTTTGAGAACCGGCGTTGGGAGATTAAAGGTGACGAAGACCAAAGCTTCCTATTTAAAAACTTATCGACAGAAGAGGCGGTTAAATCGTTGCCCTCCATTACTTAAACTTTTACATTAAGTGAATGAAGTATTTACAAATTTGGTTGGTATCATTCAACAAGCAACAATTGGACTTTGTTCTGCCTTTTTCGGCATTTGCTCAGAATCAGTGCCTGACCACTTATGTATTGCCTCACCCTGTAATTTTTTGTGAAGATTGAACCAGAAAAATGTGACTTCGCACACATCTCCTTTTTTTCCTTCTCAGCGTCAACGGAGGCGTTTCATCTCCTCGGTTTGAAAAAAAATTTTATTATAAAATATGCGTTTAAGTCTCGAAAAATCCAATTTTAGACCGCAGTCTCTTCCTCCTACCATCTGGTTTCTGGCAGATGACTTGGCACTTTGTAACGAATGGTAAGCCTGTCTTTTATCACGTGTTGAACCTTGTTAGACTTTCAAAAAACTGCAAACCTATTACAAAAACAGCAAGGAAAAAGTTACATATCTATGTTTGTAGGTATGTATTATAAATCTGCTTACGGAATATGATTTTTGATACTAATTATAATAGCCCTAACCACATTTGTTTTCTACATTCACCTTGTTCACCACTTGGAGCAGCTGGAAGAGAGGAAGATTTAGCAAATTTTCACTTTAGGTACGAAGTTCAAAGAGTTTAGTAAACGAATTTACAAACAAAGAAAGAAATTTTGCTATGTCATTTGGAAATCAATCAGTCAAAAGTATTTATCAGCAAAGAACGAGATGCAGTCTGCTAAGCACCCCTGTCAGTAAATCTGAGGCTTTACTGAATAAGAGGTGCCAGTATCAAATTTCAAAAGAGAAGAGTAAACTCAAGCTGCTGGTCTAGAAATCCCAGAAAGAAAGGTTATTGTATTTGAAAATTTTAAATAACTCGAGACACTTTGACAGTACTTATGTTTTATTCCGTTTAAATGGAAAAATTTTTTCTTACTGCTTATTTATTATTGCTTCTCGGTCACTGTTTCGAAAATTGAGAAACTGCACTATCCAAGTTTACTAAGATGCTTATATGTGTAAAGAATATGATGTAACTCACACTGTGGCAAATGAACGATAAACGACAGTCAAACTGTTGAATCACCCTCAGAAGAAGAAGCGCAAATATCTTAAAGCGTTTATTTCGCAGTAAGCTAATATAAAATTTAGCTCGGTGCTAACAGGTAAACCTTCAAATACTTCTTTTAAAAATAATCAGTTTGAACCTAAGAATTTTTTCTGTTTAGCTTTTTTACTTGAAAAATTTCATTTTTATTTAATTATTCATTTTTTTCCCACGAATGTTACATAGTTTTTAGTAGAAAGAAATTACTCCCAAATGATAACAACTTAAAATCTTTTAAACGTGCAGTTTATCAGAAAAATGAAGATATCAAATAAATGTAACACAGTTAACAATAGGTTTCTGCACCGTTCCCTCGTCGTTCAGTTTTCTAAAAATGATATGCAAAAAAAATTGGAGAAAGCAATTTACAGTCTGTCTGCTAAGAGAAATAACTGTTTGGCTCGTTGTTTTTGTTAGTTGGAATACTGTTTGATCAGTCATTGTTTTTAAATCATTGATCTTTGATTTTTCCACTTTTAGAATTCGAATAACGTTGCTAAAAAATTAGCAGTGATCTTATCTTATTAGTAGTGACAGTTACAACACTAAATCAGCCCAATCTTCTCGTTCTGTAAAGTAGCCAAAATAAACCTGAAGAAAGCTAGCCGTCGTTTGGAATGCATGAAAAGACCATCTTTTTCAAAAATGAGAAACTGGATCTTTGGGAAGTTGAAATTAATCAGTCAAACGTCTTCATCTAAATGCCATATGGCGAAAATACATTGATTTTTTCATACAGTCTACTCATAACATTAAACTTTGAAGTAGAACTTTCAAGAATTACTTGCAAAATTAAATAAATGAGCACTATATTTATAATGTTAGTTTTTGAGACACCTCGTCTTCTCCTGTATTTGAATAGCAGTAAACAACGTATCAAGCACTTTTAATCTGGCAGTTATCAAAACAGAAACATTTGATTACACAATCGTTTGAAGACTTTTTTGTAAAAAGTTTTGAAAAACTAACCAGTGAAAGATAACTAACTCGCTGCCGTAGTATCATCAAGAGAACTTCGACCAGCAACAGTCGGCACTTGATTATCCAAGAAGGTTTGCTATTTGGCAGCGTATCAGTGATGCTTAGTAAACGTTCAGATTGCATAACACTGTGTAGAAAAATAGGAAGAAAACAAAAAAAAATTGAAAACTGCAACAAAACTATCTTTATTTTTTCACCTTTGCTGCTCTGGATCCTATTGTTTTTTCCTTGTAAGAAATTGTTGGAACTATAAAATGAAGTAATAAAAATTTGAGCATAACTGGAAACATCCTGAACACGACAGACACAACTTCAGTTCACAGAGCAAAATAACATAAAGTAACATTTTTCACTTCACTTACTCAACTTCTTAATATTTGAAAATTGTCTAAAGATAAACAATTTCCAACAAAGAACTATTTCTCGACTATTAAACTAAGTAAAAACTTAAAATGTTGAAAACAAACTTACTCGTGCGGGGTTCTTTATTTAACACACAAAAACCACCATAGTTATTAAGTAACCTACTAAAAAGTGTAGTCATTTGCTTCGTTTTAATGTCAACTGTAATTCGTCTATTCAAACAAGCAAAAGATTTTAATAATAGGAAAATTTTCACTCATTTACTGTAGAGATGAACATGCAAAACTGAACCAACTGCGCCAGCAGAAACTGAATCAAAATCCTTTTCCGTTTTGGAACTACTCATCATAACTTTCGCGATAAATCGGTCACTCGGTTCAAAAAAAACCCCCCTAGAGGAACCGACTTAAAAACCCATCTAAGCCTCGGGATTTTAAAACCTCATTAAAACCATCGTTGCCTAAACAGTCCCGCTGAGGAACGCTGTAAACGCGAGCAATGTGCAGATTTACCCTGCTGCAGGAATCGTAACTCTACACAGAGACGTGAGTCACTTAAACCAATTTGCTGAACCTTCGAGAAGACCTCTTCGTATGTAACTATATAATTACTTACACCAAGAACAAC